TAAACAGAGCATGTGGTGTACTCCATGGTGGAATGCCATAAAGCGCTTAATTTTTTGTTGCCCTTGGTGCACTCCATTTCGGCCAGGTGAGAAATATAGCCCAGACCCGCCCCCACCCCCAGCGAGGTAGCTCACAATGTTTCAACACGCGGCAGGATTAATGCTAAAGTTTCCCAAAAATGTACTTTAAAACCGCAGGCAGCTTTGACCCACATTGCGGGCCACTTACTGGCCTCAAGACATTAAGTATTTTGATGGCAACCGCAAAATGGCAAATTAGTTTCAATTAAATAATGTTGTTGCAATTTAGACAGGGCCATTTCACCGCCACCCCCTAATTGGCCGCTTTCCGGTCCCGCTCGTCCTTGCAGAGTTCTGGCAAATATGTACACACTCGGTACATGAATAACGCAAATGTTGAAAATGCCGCAAGGAGCGCAGGGATCGACATCCTTACAGTTTTCCAACTGGCCCTCGTCGGTTTTCAGGGTCCCAGCATGTCCACGCAATAACGATTGCCGAGCATAATGCCCATAATGTCCTCATAATTACTTCAAACACCCCCTGGACCAGGACCAGGTCCCGGGGCCCGGTCTTTCTCCACGGGGCTCGTCCTGTCTGGGCGAAGGACCAACGTGTTGACACAGCCGGAGTCAACGCTGCTGGTCTGCAATTTGCATTTAATGTACGCATTGTTTTATTAATTTTGAGTGTTCTCATTAAAACACACACCACATTTATGAAATTAATATTTGTGCGGCGAGAGCACCTGAAAAAATGGCACCTGCTGGCTCTAGACATGAAGTAAGTAAGTAAAAAAAAACGCTGCCATGCAATGCATAAATTTTAATTTAATTTATTAAAAGCGTTAAGGTTGAAAGGAAAATGTATTTTTTAATTTTGTAGCTCGCTTCTGGCGGAGAATTAATATGCGGGCGAGATAAATAAATATAAAGTAAATGTAAAATAAACAAAAAGGGAATATCAAAGTAGGTTTTTCTACAGAAATTTAAAGGTTGAAAATGAATATTTTCCTTTTGTTTTGGCATCTATCTCTGACACTTATTTTTGCATACATCAAAATTTCTATTACCAAAATCATTTATGTCCGAATTCACATGCATAAATTAATAGTTGCCTGCCAATGATGAAATTTAGCATGCAAAGGGCGTTGGGGGTGCAAAAAATTGAATTAATATTTATTACGCACATTTTGGTTGATTTGGTTTTGCACTTGGCTGCTTTTGTGGCACGAACTAGACTCGAACATGGACACAGAACATTATGTGTTACATCGACATCGAACACGGCAAACTACCATAAATATTTGGTCGAGACAAACTGCAGTGGCAGAAAGGCTTGACAACACATTACATGCAAATAAGTTGCACTCGCATATATTTATTTTTATTAATTTATTTACTCAATACTTGTTGGCATGATGTAGTTTCCATTTTTTTCCTAAATTTGCATTTTGTTTTGTGGTTTTGTAATTTACATAAATCAATTCGATATTATCCGCAGTACCGGTATCACATTTCTAATTATGTTGATGGTATTTTTAGTTTGCGTAATTTATGCAAATTGTTACCGGACCATTGCCGAGCGAGCCTGTTTGCAAGAGTCACTGATTAATTGTTTTGCGGCGAGTTAATTATTTTTTATAATCGAGAAAAATACTAGCCAGGGGAGTACTGGTCCCCTGACTGGAGCACGCATTGCGGTAGTAATTTCCTTTTGTTGTTCAAGTGGCAATTTAATTAAGCTATTTAAAAGCCCTAAATATAAGCAATTAATATTAATGCGACCGCATAAACGCTCGCAACAGTTTTACACGATTTAATTATAGATTATGGCTGGCTAATAAATTATTTAGTCGAAAGCCTTAAAGTAGGCTCCTGTTTTTTGCATACTTTTTAACGATAATTATTTGAGAGTTTATTCCAAATACTATACTTGCCTATAATTCAGTTCATTAAACGCTCAATTATTTATATTAAATGTATGCTTCCGGAGAAGTTCATGGTGTAAATTTATTACGAGGAATTCCTGACAGCCCTTCTTAGTCTACTCGACATTCTTAATGTCATACTAATAGGTTTTGTTGGCTTTTTTGCAAATGTCTCGTAATCGAATATGCAATTTTGAAAACGGCTGGGAGAAATCTTCTGAGTCTGAAATCTAGTTTATTATGCCAATTAAAAGGACTCCAAGCTAATGCGATTTGTGCACAACAAGTCGATATTGTGCAGTGATTACGCAGCACACAGCTTCCCCTTAATTGGAATCATCTTTTAATTGCCATATTAAGCAGGCTCGATAAGTATACGCAGCGTTGTACACAACACGCTTCATCACATACACGTGTGTGTCACACACACATGTACAATGGAAAGCAATTATGCATGAAGACGGCATTCAGTTGAAATTGATTGCTTACCAAGCGGAGACAGTTTGGTTGCATTGGCCGCATTGAAAACCAAGTGCTGAGAAATACTAACCCCAAGCACACACCCGATGCATCTTCAAAGGCATTCAGGTGTTGAGATGTGTTTGCCCATGTGTTAGTTATATACCGTAGTGGTGGTGGTTGAGGCATCCAAGTGTGCGTCTACGTGTCTGTCCGCTCAATTAAGTGTCCTGGCAAATACTGCTGGCATACACACAATTTTCATGCTGCACTTGACAGCCGTTGGCTTAGGTAATTGATAAACTTGATATGATCCACTTTTCTCTACAATTGCCAAATATTTTACATCGGCTTATACACCAAATCATAATAAAGTATTCAATTAATTAAATTGAATGCTCAGAAGCTCAGTCTTTATTAAAAGTAATTTTTAGAAATTCTCGCCAAGAAGCATTCATGTTCGAATGTTACTTCCCTTTTCAAATAGAAAATAAATTGAAAGCTCATACTTGACCCAAAAAGAGAAATTGCATTTATTAATGCAAAATCGGAAATTTCTGCTCAACTGGCCGAAAGTTTACTTTTGTGCTTGTGGGTGGCACATGTGTGCGATATTGGCTCAGGTCGAAGGTCCTGCAAAAGGCAATATCCTTCAACAGCTCCACAGAGCTCCAGTGCTCCATTTATTACGATATTTATGTGGGTGCGTAAATCAACAGCACAAATGGCATGGAATTAATAAATGAGTCTACACGTTTCTGTTTCAGCAAAACTGATGAAAATTTTTGCTTTATTCCCATTGATTATATATTTCTTTCTGAAGGTAATAAGAAAGGGACACGTTGCCTTCGAAAAGGACAACTTTATACTACCTGCCAGTATGGCAAACAATAAATACCATTTCCATGGACGGCACTTTGCATTTGTTTGCTGGTGTGGCCCTTTCATATTTTATGTTAATTAAACTTGTTGCAATCGAGTCTATGCACTTGTGCCACGACCTATGCTGCAACTTGAAACCAATTACACGCGTACGGCCCTCATACACTGACAGCCCGTTATGCTGCTTAATTCCTTCAACAGCAGCTCCTGGATCCTGCCGCTTGTTACTTCGTTACTTATGTAGTTTTGACGTGAAAAGCTGGAAAAGGGGGGGAAATACTAGGAAAGCGGGAAAAGCGCGAGCAGCGCGGGAGCAGGACTCGTGGCATGGAGCAGTGGGCGCACTCTCCAAAGCGTGAAATAACTTCCGTTGCAAATTTCATTTTCGTTGCACACACATTTTTTATTCACATAAAATGCACAATGCAGACACACGATATACAAGTGGGCGTATGTGATGGGGTGTATGTGTGTGTGGGCGTGGCAACGTTAGCATTTTAGTTTGAAAGTTTGTTACCCTTTTTGGCAGTGAATGTGTTTTAATGAGCTTCAAATTATGACAGCAAATAAGCTCGTATTATTCTATACTTTTTATTTGATACTTGAAAAGTTGTAGTTTTTAATTAAAGGTTTCGAGGGTGATTTAATTGAAGGGCTTGAAAGTCTCTGGTTTGAAGGAGATACTTAAAAATAAACTATGTTTTTTTATATTATGGGGTATGACGTATTAATTTAATATACTTATTTATTGCCATTTAGATACTTTATACATATTTATTTTTAAAAAGATACTCAAGTCATAGTCAAGTCATATATCATTTACCTAAAATCCTAAAAAATAAATTACCAACTTTCGTATTTGTTATTCATTCTTTTCCAACTGCCTTGAGGCATTCAGTATATATTTGGAAAAGTGTTAAAATGTTGCACAACTTAAATTAAAATGACTTTGACAAGTTTTCTTTTATTTTTCGTGTTCTTATACTTTTGACAATTTCTACCGGTTTGCTTTTCTTCTCTCCTTTTCCGCCCAAAAGCGACTTTTGTGCTTCTGGGCCACACAAAGTGCTGCAAATAATTTGAATTTAATATTATTTTCAGTTGTGGTTGTTGATGTTTTTGCTTGAAGTTTGTAATTATTTTCTTACTTTGCTTGCCACAAGTGTGAAAATCAGGACAACTTTTTCGTGTGAAGTAATTTTCCTGGGGTTTTCCACGATGTTTTTCTTTCTTTTTATTGCCAGAGGGAAAAGCAAAGTTTTTTTATGAGTTGCAGGAGCTCTCTTTTTTGGGAAAGAAGAGGTAAGCCATTAAAAATGTATAGAATATAATTTACTTAAATATTCGGTCAGTGGCTTGTAGTTTTCCAAACATTTTCCGGCTTTTATTTTTCATTTGTATAAGAGTGGAAATTTTGTAGTTTGTGTGCGGTTTGGGTCTTGGCTAATCCGGAGAAAGTTTTCTCTACGCTCGATTGGATTTTCCACCACCAGACCGACCGATCGGAAACTACTGGAAAAATCACCACCATGCATGCTAAGGAGAGTGAGAGAGAGAGAGGAAAACTCCAGAGAGAAAAAGAGGGAGTAAGTGGGAGGGAAAGGGAGAATATCTCTGTGAAAAAGTGCATTGATAACAACTGCTTGGCCTCAGAAACCGGTTTTATTTTGTTTACTGATTGTTTTATTTTTGGGGGTCGGTTGGTTGTTTTCCGGTTATTCGAACTTTAGACTGCATTGGAGAGTTCACGTGTACACGTGCTGTATTCTTTCTCCATCTAAATAAGTAAAATAATTTTATTAAACAAGAACCATGGCTACAATAGACGATTTCTTCAATAAATTGAAGAGAAAACATCCCACTCTAAAAGACGATTTACGTGGGATATTGAAAAGCACACAAAGTGACTCACCTCAACGTTCTATTACTTTATCACAAATACGTGGTAAGTTTTTTCTAGGAAAACTATTTGGAAACAATTGTATAAATTTGCAAAATTTCCTTGCAGCTGCTTATAGTCAACGACTTGGTCAGGAATTTCCCGTCAAGGGTGGAACGCGGACTCAAATGACTTTCATGCTGACAATCCCATATGTCTGTTGTTTTAGTACACAAATTGGCACATTGCGATTTTTTAGCATTGAGACCAACCAGGAATAATATGATACTCAACTGTACAACAAAACTAGTCTTAATCGTGCAATTCAAATAGAATTAAGAGTCATTTTAATGCGACACTTTGTAATGAAAATAAATTTATATAATTAATATTGTTTTATCATTATTTCTGGTTTAAAGAGGTTCAGTTTTAAAGTTAAGCAAAAAGTACAGCTTTTAGTATATGTATGTATGAATGTATTAATGGACAAAACGCTGACAGAATAAAAACAAAATGCGTTATTAATAACCTACCCCACTAAAAAACAGGCTAGCATAAGCAAAAAGCTGGACTATGTCACGTTCTCATATACTCAAATTTTATTCAGGGTAAGAGTATAAGTATTTATTCAGGATAGTAAATAAGAGATTGGGTTTTAAATTTCATTTAAACTATTTAATTATAATTTATTAACACACACAAAGATTGCTTATTTTAGAAAGTACATTTTTTGTTCTTTAGCCAAGACTAAACCCACATATTGTGGTTTGTGAAATGGATTTAAAAAATATAATAAAAAATATGCCTGGAAAATAATGAAAATTCAATCAAACAATACAGTATTTGACAAAAAACGTTGATTTATTAAAATTTTTCTTTTAGCAGTATATTAAAAAAAAAAAAATATTTTTAAAAATCGTTTACATTCCTGTCTTTTAGCGACAACTTCCAATTTCAATTTAAATTCCATTGGCTTCATTTATTTTTTTGCTTCTGGGCAGTAGCCTGGCAATTGTAATTTAGGCCATGGCTGAAATCAAACGACAGAAACCAACAGAAAATCGGAAAACCTCAAAACAAACAAATGAGCTAGTGACAGCGTGAACATACCGACTTTGTGTACATCAAATCAAATGTATTTGCTCCCGCAGCTTTGGGTCCGCAACAAAAAAAAAACGAATACCGAAAAAAGTAGATCACCAAAGCCAAACAACTAACAACTAAACAAGGCCCGGACAACTACGGGTCAGTCAGCAGCACACGGAACAAACCAACGGAAAACAAATGGAATCCGAGGTTGCAGTCGGAGTTAAAAGTTGCCAGCAGGAGTTTTGTGGGGGGCCGGGAGTTTGGAATTCGGAAGGATTGTGAGGGGGCCACTGTTTGGGGAGCTCCTGAGTCCTGACTGCGTTGGGTCACGCAGTCGCAGAATCTGGTTTTTGGGGACCCAAAGCAAAGCATAATGAAACTAAATGCTGGGGCCGAGAAAAACCCCAAAACAAATTCATTACGGAACTACACCTCAGGGGGTGATAATTCGATTCAACGAAACTTTGGTGATTATTTATTGCTTCATGCGGCGACTCTGACTTTCTCTGCGACTCTGTGGGTGTGTTTTTTTTCTACATGGTGGGGTTTTTCCTGGTTTTCTGGTTAGGTGGCTGGCTGGTTTCCCCCGTCCTGGACTGAGGTTCCCTTGGTGTTTTGCTGTTGGTGTCATAAAATGTTTTGTGGCCCAAAACTGGGCACTGGAACTCATTATTTTGTTCATTAACACTTTTTTTCAGCTGGGTTTTGGCTGCCGTTTTGGTTGGTCTGAGGTTTTACTATTTTTATTTTTGTTTTATGAAGTTTGAAAAGGGTGTTGTATACATGTTGATGCTGGAATAAAATTTATTCATAAGGTTAAGCATATTTTTATCCTTTTTTGAGATAATTATAATTTTTGTGCACAAATCTTTTTATCTCTTAGAAAAGGGTATCCCCTAGTTCACCCTTCAAAATATGCCTGACTTGTGTTCTTTATTTGAATTTCCTTGAGGACCATCAATTAATTTCTGCTATCTTACTCAGTTTATTTATCCTGTCTGCGGTTGTTGTCCTTTTTTTTTGGGTTGGCAAATTTTATTTATGTGCCTAAAAATATATATGCGATAAACCTAAAGTGATTCCAAGTTTATTTTTGCATACTGTTGTTTTTGGCTTTTAGTTTTCCGTGGGCATAAACATTTTTTATGCTTCATTAAGGCTTTGTTTTCGCTTTTTCCGTCGGTTGATGTTTTGTGTTTGTTTTTTGGGTCTAAATTATCAGTCGCCAAGTTGAAATGCTGTTAACTTTTACTAGCTGCGGCTTTAACTCATCAGGAGGCTGTTTCGGCCTTTGTTCGGACGGACGAGCCGAAACATTTCACTTTGTTATGGCACTTTTCTGAGTTATAAAATGTTATCGAGGGCGCAGGTTTTTATGTCTCAGGGTCAGATAAATGTGTTTATAGCGTAATCTTTTATTTGGGCTTTTCCGGAAAATTCGCCGTCTCTCATTTAATTTGTGTGGTCTTTTATTTTTGCTACCCATCGAGTACCCCATGAATCGCAGCCAGTGGGGAATGTTTATGACACGCATACGCAGTGTGGTATGTAGTTAGGAGAGATTTGTCGGGGGATTAGACAAAACGTTGAGAGCCAGTCATTAAGCGAACAAGTCAGTTCCATATATAATACCAGGAATTAGAAACTGGAGCGCAGATAGAGGGCTGAACATTAATTAGCTCCAGCTGATGGAAAGCAAGGACATTTGGCAGGAAATGAAATTTAGGCTTTGTGTATGGCTCGTGGTTTTAATCTGTCATGCTATTCTGATATTTTAAAGGGTTTTCGTTGGGAAAAGCTTCTTTATTTGCCTGATATTTGACAGTGGAAAAGCAAGTATTCACAGCAAATTTAGCCAGCTGCCAATTGGTTTGAAGTGTTTATGGTTGCCCTGTTGGTTTCTTTCTTGTTTTTCGCCCAGAAGCAGCATTCCACTCTAATCGCTTCTAATAACGCACAAAATTGAAAAACTTATGCGATATCATTGGGGACCCAAGCCGCACGACAAATGCAGCTGCCCGTAGGGGGATTCCCCAAGAAGCCCCAGGAACTGGAACTCAACTGAACCGGACCCGACAACTTCTGACAACTTTAAGCACATGAGGTAAAGTAAAGAAAAAAATACTTGTAGGCAAGAGGGCGGCAAAACGAAAATAAGATGGAGCAGACATATTAAAGTCGACTATATGATACCTGGTAGTTCTTAATATTCAGTCATTTTAATCTTTGTGGATAATATACTTCTGCAAAAATAGATCTTTAAGATATTCGCTCGAAATCGATTGTATATTCCCCGTAGGACCATTACAATATACCCTTGTATTCCGCAAGTACCCGGTACGTAAAAAAAGAAATGAAGGATATAAGGAACAGGAGGAGAACTGTCATGATACGCCCGCAAACATGGCCAGCTGGACAGGATTGAACCTTCAGTTCAGTTCGGTTCAGTTCAGTTTGGTTTTGTTTGGTTCGTCGAGGGCGTCCTGCTATTTGCTTTGCCCTGTGTGTCACTTTGGAAATTGTGCAGGCCATGCGGCGTCTGTTTGTTTTAATTTCTCTTATCGGCAGTCAGCTGCCCAGTACGCCCCACTCCGCTTACCAAGCCAGGCTACGCTCCCTCCCTTCCAAGTACATCGACTTGCCATCTACTTTCCACTAGAGCTGCTACTACTCGGACTCCCTCGTGCCATACAATTTTAATTGCACAATGGCAGTTTCTTTTGTTTTCTAGCTGCAATTTTTTAAAATGAATTCATGGTCCGGCCGGGTCTCTGGGTTATTCTGGCCGCTCTTTTGTTTGACGTCTCCAAATCCGTAAGGAGCTCTTGCCCGGGTGCGAGTGGGATGGTGGAATCTCTGCCAGGCAGCTATTTAATTGAAACTTGCTTTGTGACTCCGTCGGGTAAGCTAATAAAATGTTTAACTTTGATTTAGTTGAGGGATTTCTAAAATGAATGCACTTAAAGCCACTTCAGGGCTCGCACTTCAGCTTTATTGTCTGTGAAATGGCGTTGGAGCAGTACCATTTTTTGTAAGAGAGCTTAAGGTTTTTTATTTTAGGAATTTAAGGATATATAAAGTAAATTTTTTATACTAGTGGCTGGATCTCAGCCACTAAAAACATCAATTAGCTCTCCTTTTTCACTTAACCGCAATGGCACTTTCTTATTTACCGATATTTTCGAATTTAATAATCGTTTCTCGTCCCCACCTCAAAGAACTAATTAATTGCCCATCACACGCATACCTGGCCTTCTTTTAATTGCCACTTTCAACACCTCTTGGGTCGAAAAGGAAATCAGGTTGATGGTTGGGGCTGAGAGCCCGATTTGAATTATGAGCAATTAGGCTAGCCACAACCTGGCAAAATGCTTTTTGCAACTTAAAATGGGGCGATGGGATGGTTTGTGGGTGTGGCTGGGGCGTGGGCGGGGTCATGTGTCAACAGGCAGAACTCGGCGGTTGCAGCACTGGATTGCGGTCACCTGCATTCGTGTGTAGAGCGGCTTAGTGGGTGGTGCGTGTGTAATGAGGCTTAATTTGTTGAATTCCATGGCTTATAATTGGCATTGGCCAGACCGCAAGGCAGAGCAAGCCAATCGGCAACTGGGGCAAGTGCAAACTGTAATTATGTGGTCACTTGGTCAGCCGTAAACCAAGATTTGTTTACCACCATGTACCGTGTGTGTTTTGGACACAACTTAAGCCTGCTCTGAGCAAATCTTCTTCGTGGTTCAAGCCACACAACATTCAGCGGGAAATTTTATGGCGTTTTTATGACCGCAACCAGGGGAATAAAAATAAGAATAAAAAGAAAGTGGCATTTTAGTTACACCTACATAGCTCGCACTTTTGTTGCGAAACTGCCACAAAATGCATTCAAGAATTAAGTTTGTAAACAGGAGACTATGTGTTGCACAAAGAATACTCTTTAAATATGTAAAAAATTTAGGGAGTTTTGGAAAATCGAACCCTTAAAGTTTAAAAGTTTTTTTTACAAAAGCAACAAATAATATTTTGTACATACATTTTTAATAAACCTTAAACATGGAATATTTTTTGTTTAATATTTTCTTGTACAAACTCAACCCCAAAATCGCAATATCCTGCATCGAAATTATTCAAACAGAACCCCCAAGAGAAGGCCAACTAACAAAGCAACATGGCTAGTGTCATGGCAAAAGTTTTTTACTTTTGTAGCTTACTTTCGTATATAAATCTATTTTTTTTTTATTTTTTATTGCACAACTTTATCCTTTTTAGGGGCGAACGCACATAGCATACATTTTCCACGGGGAGAAA